CAAATAGAATGTCCTCTAATAACCTGTTATTTTAAGTTAAAATATTAACATGAGAATACAGCCCTGCCTGGAAATGCCATCATAACACTGTGTCACACTGAATAGAAGAGAGGAAATAAAGGTAGCAATCCAATTGTTCCAGATGAGCTTGTCTAACAGACTTCAGTTACTTCAGCCAGATAAATGTTCCTGAAACACTTATGAAGTCACCACAGCAGTGCACATAGAGATGAAATATGTCCTTCTAATCTGGATAAACATTAAGTATTTGAAGAGCAGAAGTTGAACTGCAATGGTGAAAATCAAACATAACTACTTATGAATTTAAAAAATCTTGAAGAATTCAGCTCGCATTTGAACTTCAGGACAGAATAAACAAGTAACAAACCACAGTGAAAACCCTAGCAAAAGATACATATATATTTAACAATGGAACAATGAAATCAGTCAGGTCAGGCTATAATTGATGGAGGCTGTCAGATGGTTTGGCACTAAAGGCATAATAAAGTAAGAAACTGCAGAGAAATGTACTTGAGGCCTGAAATACAATAGAGCTGGGTCAAGGAACAACATTGTTGGGCAAACCCAATAGATCAGCAGAGTGCCCAGTAGAAGGATGTTTCTGCAACAATCTGTTATGTTACTTGGAAGAACATCAAGTTGTGTCTAGGGTGGACTTGTTGCAAATAAGGGTAGTTTGGGAACTTTTCCTGCAACTTAATTCAGTGGAAACCAGGGCAGTTTTCACACTAGTGACAGCCTCACTTTCCTTTTAAGAATGTTCTTTCCTCTAAGGAACCCTACACAAGGAAATTTGGTTTTAATCTTCTCTTTTTGATGGAGAGACATTAAAAAAAATAGAAAAGAAAAGCTGCCAGCTCACAAACACCAAACACCCCTGTTCCAGCACAGAGCATTCACAGTTGTCAAATTCTGGTCAGCATGAGTTATGCCTCCTGACTGCTTTCAAATTGGATTCATAATTCCCCTGCAAGAGGCATTGCATGTTTCTCAATAGTGGATATGGCAGATAAAGTGAAAACATTCTGCAAAATTGAACATTTTTCCTTCTAGCACAGTATAATCAGGCTGCTCGCACATCAGACTGAACTTCCATTAGGCATTGCATTTCAGACTTCCAAAACATCTTCAGAAAAGAAAAATGTTTATCAAGAGCAGCAATAACATATGTCTGCTCTAAGCCACAAAGCCCCAGAAGAGTTCAGCTGATACAAAGGCACATAGCACCACCTGCTAGACACTGCTGTGCAGGATCCCTGCTCCAAGCTGAGGCAATAAAGGGTTCTTTGCATGGTACCCATCCTGAGTGTAGCACTGAAAAAGAGGGCTGAATTCCAGCTTAAAATATGTTCCTGGTCCTTGGGTAAATTCAGCCTAAATGCTTGTGTTGCAACTCTTACACTTCTACAGTTACACAAGAGAGATTAATTTCAGCTCTCGTAGGTTTTAATTCCTTACTGTAAATAAGCCATGAACAGCATCATTGGTGCTCCTACTCAACAGGAAGGATAAGGGCATTCACCAAGCTATCAAAGTCATGCTCTTAGACTTGTGAAGAAATTGATTATTAGAGCACAGAATTAGGCTTTCTACTTGGGAACTACCCATAGGGCTTCAGTTCACCAGGATATAAAAATGAGCAAGTCAGATTTTAACAGAAAGACACTGCATTTAAGTTGAAAAGAACAGCAAATCACAGCAGGAGGTGAAGGAAGCAGCCTAGGAAGCCTCAGGGCAGGGCTTGTAACCATGGTGTTGACAAGCCCTCAGGAAAAGTAGCATCAATAAAGGTTTGATACTGCATCCTGGCAAAACCAATCCTCCTCTAAAGGCACCTTTTACTAGTAGAGCCAAGGTCTCTTGGATATTTTGCTATAATGACAGCCATATAAGCATATACATAGCCTTTAAGCAAGCACACTGAGAGGAAAAAGAATGACCAAGTTAGAAATAAGTTTTCTCTGAAGAAAATACAGGTTCACTAGATATCAAAGCACACTAGCAGCACTCCCAGACTGAGATGTTAGACCCTTGTTCTGCCCAAATTAGTTTGCTCTGCATGAGTCAGTGAAGAGTTCTTAAAAATCTGTCTGCAGGAGTAGAAAGGTAATCCCTGAAGTTAACAGTTTGAATTAAATTGATATGTGCTTTTTACCTATGTTTCTAAGAACAGTAAATCCTTGATATCTTGCACACTACTGAAGTTTTGTTCTGCAGCTTGAATTGCAAGAACTGAGCACTACCTACAAGCCACTGCTGAAAGCAATTAGCACTCCTGTGCTCAATTAGTCTCCTGACACTAACAAAAGAAAGGTGGAAACATCCTCTGTTTATGGAGGGGAACAGCATACAATGAAGGCTGTTCAGAACAGTCTCTAGTCATTGCCAGACTTGACCTTCTCATCAACTACTACAGTAAGCAATAAAAGCTACTTGAAATTTTATTCCTTGTGCATATCATAGCTCTCTATAGCCCTTAAGCACATGCAAGGGGATCTAGAAATATCAGAGGCCATGTAATGTCCAGCTCAGTTCATCATCCTTTAAGCTGTGGCCCTCACTTTGAACCATAAAATCCTTAATGTTGGAAAGGACCTCTAAAGGTCATCTGGTCCAACTCCCCATAAGTAGGGACATCTACAGCAAGATCAGATTGCCCAGACCCTCACCTAGACTGGCCATGAAAGTCTCCAGACACAGGGCCTCCACCACATATCTATGCCCTTTTCTCCAAAGCCACACAGCTGAAGAACATATACACCACAGTCTAACACTTCAGTTCCAAGAAGAAATACTCATTTTGTGGTTAGTGAGCCCAGAAATGGTAAGTAACCTAAAGCCCACAGTTTTCTGAAGGACACGTGGGAAAAATGCACTTTGTCACATCTAGCAAGCAACCCTGCACATTGCTGTATTTGGTACTCAGTCAGATCAGTAGGGAAATTGCAAGAGAGATTCACTGGTACTTAAATATTTAGTACAAATTAGCTCCTGTGCTGACAGCATACAGTAATAGTACAGATTTGATTTAAACAATTGCACACAAAGAAATTCAATCAATAGCATTTACTCACTGTCAGTTAACGATTACACCAGCAGCTGCATAGGCAGCAGCTCAGGTCTGCAGTGTTAGAAATAGGAGTCAGACTTGTGAGTCCCTTCCAACTCAGGATATCCTATGATTCTATAAAGTGCCAGCCTACCTCTGACATGACAACACTCTGCAAGCTATTTCCCTTGTTAGCATCTCTCTGAAGAAATCAAACTCAACACACTAGTTATAAGACAATTTCTGGGGGCAGAGGCCCTACAAAGTCCTAGAAGACCCTCAGCAACCTGCAGTACAGTGGTGCCCAAAAGGAACACAGGAGGTGCAGAGAACCCAGCCCTAAATGCTTTGCCATGACTTTGGCTAGAGCACATCCCCTAAAACAGCAGGGGGCACAGGATGGTTCCCTCCCTTCTTACCAGGGATGTTTCAAATGTTAAATCCCACATTACATCACATTTCGTCTTAGTTGAATTTGAACAGTGGTTCAAGTGAAATCACCTTAGAAAGGACCTGAATAAAGAAAGCCCATAGTGAGTTACGTGAGACTTGGAAGTTGTTTTCATGTGCTGCAGAGTGAAAATTACACTTTTGGCAACAAATTCACGGCAAGGAAAAGTTAGATGTAATTTTAGGCAATTTCTTTCACAATAATGTCTCAGAAGATGCCAAAAAAAGCCTCAACACAAGTCTTCACTTAAGCGAAGACAATATAACTGTTTAAAAAGAAGAAAAGAAATCTAGACTCAATTACTTTATAGTTTCTATCAATAGAAGCAAGAAATCCTGTGGGAGGACAGAAAGCAATAGGTGATTTAAGAGGTGTAACACCTCTTATTTCAACCAAGAAACACATTTTATTAGTTTCACTATTGAGCAATTTTGAGAGGCCAGACATGAACAAGAGTAATATTTTTGAAAGAAAAGTCAAGTTCAATAACAAGCTGTGATACATAACAGACAAAAAAAAAAAAAAAAAAAAAAAAGCCTTCAAGACCACAGCCCCACATCCGTTTTTGACAAGAGAAGATGGGAAGATTATATGTTGCATTTTGCTTCTGTTACTGTTAAGTGGCCCCAATGAAATTGTCTCGTTCCCTATTGCCTCTTTTTAGCGTGCCTTTAGATGGCAGCAATTGTTTTTACTCAACAAACAATGCTATAAAGTAACATCATAACAGGGGTAACAGATACTCCTCCACTACTTTTGCTTACAGGGTCCAAAGACAGAAGCACAGCTTCAGACACACCAAAGGCAAAAACTGCTTGCACAAAGCAGCTGCTTTTCCACATGAGACTTAATGCACTGCAATGTTAGTAAGGTGCAAATCAGTGGAAGGGTTTAAATAGTACTTCTTCAAGTCATCTGCCAAGTACCCAGCCCCCTTATTGCACTTATTTCCTTGCTCTCATTTGGTCCCTTGGTGCACAAACTACAATTTGGACTCTGTGTCAGTATTAATGCCAAAATAAGTAGCTATACAGGAGGAAAAAACAAACAACAAAGTGCAGCATGAACTGAGGTTATACCTCTAAACCAGCAACTCAAAAACACAGAAATCCACAAAGATGCTCCCAAGTTCCATTCCATCATATCAAACCTAAAGCTTTTAGATTTTCCTATCCTACTTAACTCAATCTGAATCTCCACCATATAGCCTAAGAGTCACCCCCACCTGAGCCTTCATTCACGAAGTTTATTGTATAATTGTGAACCACTCTGGCATTCCTGATAAAGCAATCAGTTCCAGTATTGTAAGCTTTGTATCTCACATGTCCCCACATGCAAGCTTTTAGCTCCCTTCAGACAAACTCTGCAAACTCATACAATTAAATCACTAACAAATACACAACCTACTTTAATCCCCTTTAAGGTGTTGCAAAAATACAAATAAGTACCAAGAAAGACTTTTACAAACAGACAAGGTACCTCAGCATAAGCCTGCAACATCCAGTAGAAGACATCCCTTCACCATCTCACAGCTCAGTAAATGTTATCTCCTCTTCCCTAGGAGAACTGTTGAAGGAGCACAGCTTTTACAGAACACTGTAGGTCTAATCCTTTTCATGCTCCCAGTCCCTCCTTCTACATTAAGCATTCCCCACCTGCTCCACCCCACCCTCCATGAGGTACAGGTGGCACCAATTATCCCAGAGAACTCAACAATTAACCTAAACAGATCTCAGCTACCTCTGGGGCTGGTCCTGAGAGTCTCTCATATGCCCATATTATAGATATAAAAAATTCCGCATTTATTTAGGAATGCTATGTACTTGATGCTTATGAAATACATATAGGAGCAGATGTAAGCCACAAGAATAGAGTTTATCTACTTGCAAAAAAATTCTCTGTATGATCACCATCTCACTGAAAGGCTATAGTTAGACAGCGAGTCCACTGAGAACCAGCGACTCCATCCTTTTTCTGTTTCACAGTTGTGTGCCAATTAGTACACAACCTGGAAACAAAGTATCTCTGTACCTAACGCACAGGAAGGTTGAAAAATTTACTGATGTGATTAAAACAGGAGTTTAAATTCAACTTCTGCAACAGGCAAAGGGCAGCAGATCCTTTATCTTTTTTCCTCCATATGCTTGGAATTGATATCACTTTCATCTACTTTAGGGAGAAAAAAAGTAATTAACAGTCTGTAGATGGTTTGTATTTTGAAGCCTGTAAAGTGCCTAAAGGTGCTGCTCTGGCTATTCTTGTTGGACAAGCACTAATTCAGCTCTCCTAAGTAACATGTCGGTATTGCCAGTGCAAAGGGTTCAGCTAGACTGAGATGGAAGTTCAGAACCACAAGTTTAACAAACAGAAAGATCAGCACAGTGGAATGGTGATACAAGAGGTGTAATGTTCAATCAAAGCCTGTTTTCAGGTTTCTTCTCCACAAGGCCAGGAGCTCTGCAGAAACTGAAATCCTCTTACAATTGATAAGAGCTGGAAATGGAGACTCTAAGCAGAACATTAAATACTATTACAAAGACTAAAGAGACTGTGAAGTCTGAACAATTCAATCTTTCAAAACAAGACTGTGGTTATGCTTTCAGAATATCTTAATGATTCAATGTTCACACCTCTCATAAGTGTCCCAAAACTAGTCTTAAGCTTAATGATCTCTGCAGACTTTAAGATCCACACTTAAAGTAACTGGGAACTCCTGGAGTGGCTTCAGTGGAGCTGTGCTAATTGATAGCAGAAGTCGATCCCAAAGTTTACCAGAAAGAAAGGTTATCTTCAACAAAGCTTCTCTTCAGAGCTAATAAGAAACCTTGAAGTTCTCATTTTTTACCCATAAAGCAGGATCTAGATACATCTGCACCTTGATTCTGCTTGACTCAGAATATTTATACTTCATTTGATAGTATGACATTCCAGTATTTCAGAAATACATTTCTCAGTATTTCTGGGATCCTGCTTTGGTGACAAGCTTTTTCCTTTGATCTTAGTGAAAGAGTTTTCTCCGGCATGCTCTTTGCTCCCATCTTTTTCTGATCTGCTTCCAAGAACTGAACATTTTTAGTTCTCCCATTAGATTTTAGCTTTGGTGTATTTTGTTTTATTAGAGCTGGCAACAGGGTGCTATTTAAACACTGCTCCATCTGTCTGAGTCAAGTCCTGCAGGTAGGGTGTCATGTTTGATTTCATGTCATCATTTCTTGTGCAGTCAGAGCTAAAGAAAAAAATGATTATAAAAGCTACTTTTATAAATTCCTTTGCAAGATCTTTTGCTGTTGCTGTGGGACTACTTGTGTACTTATAAGCACAACCCCTTTGTACACTGCCAAAAGGAATATAATTGGGATGCAAGGCAGCCTGGCCTTGGTCATGGCATTTCCCTCCTCTGCTGTTCACAGTGACTGCATGTCAGCATTACAGTGAATGGTATATACTGTAGGCCTAAAATAACACTGACATTTTGGAGACTGAGTTTTCAGGTTTGAAAATGAATGTTGTACAGCATGAGGCTCCATCTGACGCTGAGATAAGAGAAATGCTGAACTATTACACCAGCGTGATAACACTTCACAGACAGCACTTCCTAGCCAGAAAACAATAAAATGTGGAGAAATGACTAATAAACAACATTTACAGAGGCCTTTCTGGTGGGCATATCAAATACTTGCAGATCTGCTGAACGTAACTATTTCCTTCTCACACATTGTTTCATCTGTTTCTTATTATTCTCAAAAAGACATTTACTCTGAAAACCTTAAAATTATGATGCTGATAGAGAAAAGGAGTTATTCATGTCAGCATATGTAGAAATACTTACAGACCATTAGAGTACTTGTTCCTCTCATGGACAACATGTACATCTCATGGGTATTACTGATTGCATTTAATCAAGAAAAAGCATTACAGATGCGTTTTATTTTTGTTTTATCTACATTAGCAGTCAGTGCTTTTCTGTAGCCATCCAGAAAAGGACATTTCCTGAATTTCTTCCTTCTCCCTTAGGTGGGGAAGCAGGCTCAGCTGGAGGACTCAGAGGGCTGAGCCTCAGCCTTGTACTGACCCTGGGGTCTGGTCATGCCCTGCAAACACTGAAGAAAGGCCACATCTTACACTTTCAGAGCACCCTTGCTCCGTATATGTAAGCCATAAATCTGAGGGCTGACACCAGCATAGCTGACCAGTGCTATTGTGAGACCTGTGCTTTTAGTGCAAATAAAGCACCATGTCAGGGTGAAGAATCAGTTAATTCCTCTGCTGTTAGCTCTGTAGTCATTGTAAGCATTTTCTGAATTTGTGCTGCTGGAAGCAGCTATTTCAGTTCATTCCAGATTTTTTTTCTAGAGATGTGGCCCTACTGTCCCCTCTTGATGGAGCACAGCCCAAGACACCCATATCACAAGACATATACAGAACCTCTCAATAATGGCTGTACTGAACGTGAGGTTTGGACAGCATTGGTGTCCTAGACAAAGAATTTATTTTCACAGTATTAAACAAGGAAAAATTACAACCAGGCAGCTTACATCTTCAAAAAAAGTGTTTGTGTTCCAGCCTGAGCAGTATTACACCACAGCACAGGCTGTGCCCAGGAGGGCAGCTGGACTTCCAGAAACCACTGTCTAGGACACTAATCTTCTGTCTAGGAAAATAATCCACAGGAGCCTTCCTTCTAAGGCAGTTAGCAGCTGTTCTGCACACACTGAAGGAATTGCAGTCAGCTAGATAGCCCTCACCCTGCAATATGCTAACAGACCCAGAATGGCCCTAGCCTGCAATAGCTTCATAGCCCAAGCCTGATCTGACTTTCCCACTTTTGAAAACAAAAAGAGATAGCAGCACACTGGATGTTGTACAGCCCATGCAAGAAGCACTCAAGCTGATTGCACAGCCATAGAATTAAAGCAATCTTTTATGCTGATCTTCCTCTCTGTCACATCTGCAAACACCAAAGGCTGACTCACAGATAGACCAACATTTACCTTCCAGGGTATGCTAGAACAACTGCTACCTGAATAGAAGAACCACCCTTAAGGGCTATTGTTATTAAAAATTCTCTAATTTATATTGATGGTCACGCAGGAGAATCAGTCCAACTGTTGTTCAGGATGGTACTCCTCAGCTGGACATCTTGTCTGTCCCCAGGAGTTGTGTGTATCCCCCTGCAGCTTAGGGAGGGATGAAGAAAAAATGGAAAGTGACATCTGGAAAACAGCTGGGGTTGGTGTGGTGACAGTAGAAACAGAATTTGGTCTGAGACATTTGTCTGTAGTGAATTGTGAACTGGTGCATCCAATGTCACTGACAAATGCTGTAACAAACATGAGAACAGGCTCCAAATGGTCCTCATCACCATGTGTGGTTCTGTGTGCAGAGCTATATCTACTGACTGTGGCACTCACTGGGGAAGTAATTCCCACTGTGGAGCGTACCAAGTACTAAAAGTTTCCTTTTAAGAATTTCTCTCTGATGTTCACCTTTGCATTTCTCTTGTTCAGTCTTTTTTTTATTTTATTTTCCCTGTAAGTCAGGGAAAATAAATTTTCCCATATTAGCATTTATAACTTCCATTAGTCTAGACACACACTCGTTTCCAGACTGTGATGAACATTGGCACCCTACTCAGATGGTAAGTCTAAGCTTTTCTGAATGCATTCCTCTTACTTTCTCACATACAATAAACACTAGACAGCTACTTGCATTCTCATCAGCATGAATCTTTAATTCTTCTATCATCAGTTTTGAACACCCAGGTATGATTTTGATGTGATAAAGTTCTGGAATCATAATATATAGATCTGTTTGTGATTTGTAAATGTCAGTGCATGTGGTACTCAGGCATTTGATTACTGAATGCCTTAAGCATACAGACGAGTATTTTAAAACCTTAGCATTCTCATCAGAATTCACTAATCTTAATGCTTCTAAAAACATCCCTCCCATGCAGGAGTAATTGATTTCAGGACTTTTAAAATATTCTTTCATTTAAACTACTCCCCTTGTCCCTGTAAATTCCAGAACTCGTTTTAGTTGACAACACACTCACATCCTCAAAGTTACTCACTTCTGCCATATTCAGGGACAAATAGCATAGAACCTCAGAACCGTTTGGTTTGAAAGGGACCTTTAAAGGCCATCTGTTCCAATCCCCCCCTGCAAAAACAGGGACATCTACAGCTCCATCATGTGTTCACCTCCCTGTCCAGCCTGACCTCAGGTATCTCCTCCAGGGATGGGGCATCCACACCTCTCTGGGCAACTTCTGCCACTGCCTCATCACCCTTTTTATAAAAACACATTTTTTATATACAATATAAGAAACAAACAGAAACCTGAAACAAGCAGAAGTCTAAAAGTGTTCCCCCCAAAAATCCCAGTTGCAGTTACATACAGCATTGAATCCAGCTCACACATCTTTGGATATAAATAGATATTCAGGATGAAGCTGTGAAGGAAAAAGTAAACTCTCTTCTTCACACGTGACAAACTTTCAAGTCTTCACAAAAACCTAACAAACAAATATCATCTAGTCTCTGCTGGCAAAAGAACATGCTCTCTCCTAAGGTTATCCATTCTTGCTCA